TATTATGGATCGCCAATACCAAACAATGGAAACTCAGATGATCAATGATATTTTATTTAATAATTTACCAACAGAAGGAATTCAAGCATTACAACAATTCTTAACTATTTGGAAAGATAATCCTATTCCTAATAGTACAATAGAAATAACACCTCAAAATATTTCTATTATTAATGCCGAAGGAGTTAATATTACAAGTTCTATTGATAACTGCCTTCACAATGAAACTGCCCCTCCATTCACAACATTTTTCGATGATTTTATTAATGATGATGAATGGAATAATGTATATCAACAAGCAGAAGTTAACAATGAAGAATTCCCTAGCTTTGATCTTAATGAGTTAAATGAAAACTTTCTAGAAGAATTTACCATTGTGCCCTTCACTGAGGATAATATTAACATAACAACTGAACAAAATAATGAAGTTGACAATAATAATGAATCTCTTATTGAACAAATTAAAAGAGACTTAGAGCATGAAATAGAGGATAGAGTTCTACCGAATTCTCCTTATAATGGCTCAAATTATGTCCAAATTCTTCGACAAATTATTAGAAAAATTCGAATACTTGGTAAAAGAAAAGTTAATAGAGTGAAAAGACTCGAAGCAATATATTATTTAGGAAAATTAAAAGATGAAAATGAAGGAAATAGAAAAATTATTCAAAATATTAGAAAACAGTTAACTGAACATTTTGGAAAACATAAATCTGCACGTATTTGGAAACAAGCGACTCGAATTTATTCAATATATCAAAAATTTGGACTACAACAACTACACAAAGCAAACTTTATTAGTGCCTCAATTATTGGTGAATTAGATCCAACTGACTATGAACAATTAATCTCTTAATTTATATATTTATATTTATATACATTTCTTTCTATATTTACTCCTTTTAATTATTATTTATTTATTTGTTATAAAAAAAATTTTTACAAAAAAAATTCATAAAAACATATAAAAATATATAAAAATATATATATATATATAAAAAAAAAAAAAAAAATTTTTTTTTACTCTTCTCCTTCTTCATCGCTTAAATTAAACCCCTCTTGTAACTTAAAATTATTATATTTTTCCAACAACTCTTCATATTTATTTTTATATGATGTAGCCTCTTTTTGAATTTGAGCTATATTCGCAAAAAAACCTAATGTAGAATTATAATTAACAATAGCCTCCTTGGCTTTGTTAATTCGAAACTCCAACTGTACACAATTAGTACACTCAGTTGTTCAAGAAGGAGGACGAAAGTTCGAACAAGTTGGAGCCACAGAGGAAGAAACAGAAGTAGGACGTTTCTAAAGTGAAGAAACATCTTGACGAAGCTTCAAAAGAGAAGCTTGCATCGTAATTTGAGATGCAAGCAAGGCATCGATTTCAGAGACAATAGAAGAAGGTGTAGGTGGATTGGACATCTGTGAAAATAAAAGACCAAAAGAAAAGTTAATAATGAACAAAAAA